CCCCAAAACCCCAAAACCCCAAAACCCCAAAACCCCAAAACCCCTAAATTTCAAATTTTACTTGATCTTTTATAAATTTAAGGAAATAGTTTCAAAATGCCAACTGACAGGAAAGATCCCACTGAGCAAGAGATCCTCATTGAAGAAAAGAAAACCAAACCTAATGGAGAGGTTTACGTCAGGAAGTATATCAAAGGAAGGTTCTTAGGAAAGGTAAATATCCTCTTTGCTCTATGATAAAACCCACTTTGGAATTTCATTTCAAAATTATATAGGGAGGATTTGCCAAATGCTATGAATTCACCTGCACAGAGACAAAACAGCCATATGCTGCCAAATTGCTGCCCAAGTCATCCCTCACTAAGTCAAGAGCTAGGCAGAAGTTATTGTCAGAAATCAAAATCCATCGCTCTCTAAAGCACAAGCATGTCGTTGGATTTCAGCATTTCTTCGAAGACCATGATAATGTGTACATTCTTCTAGAGCTCTGCACCAATCAGACGTTAAATGAGATCATCAGAAGGAGAAAGAGATTGCATGAGCTCGAAGTCCAATGCTATGTTGTCCAGATGGTCTCAGCTCTAAAATACCTACATGCCCACAAAGTAATTCACAGAGATTTAAAACTTGGAAATCTCTTTGTCAATGATAAAATGGAAATTAAAATCGGTGACTTCGGTCTAGCCACAAAACTTGAGTTTGAAGGTGACAGGAAAAGAACTATCTGTGGTACGCCCAACTACATTGCTCCTGAAATTTTGGAAGGCAAGAATGGACACTCATATGAGGTTGACATCTGGTCTCTAGGAGTTATCATCTACACTCTTCTCATTGGAAAGCCTCCTTTTGAGACATCTGACGTTAAAACGACATATAAAAAGATCAGATTGAACTCGTATACTTTTCCAGATAATATAAAATGTTCAAGAGAGATCAAGGACTTGATCTCATCAATTTTACATCTTGATCCAGCTAAGAGGCCAAACCTGACCCAAATTCTTGAGCATGAATTTTTCCACATGAATGCTGCAATTCCGAAGGCTCTACCAGCTTACACTCTAGCTTGCCCTCCATCAGAGAGCTACACCACCAAGTTCAAAACTGGAAAGGCTAAGGAAGGATCAAAGCACAAGCTAAAAAGAGACAAGAGCAAATATCTCAAAACTGTTCCTCAAACAGACCTTGACCCCCTAATCATGGAAGCTGTCAAAGGGGATACTTTCGTAGTCGAATATGTTGACTACTCCTCCAAGTACGGGGTTGGCTACATCCTTTCAAATGGAACCTTCGGCGTCTTTTATAATGACAGCACTAAGATTATTTTCGATCCTTCCTCCGAAAGTATTGAATACGTGAACAAAAAGTCAGGCGATAAATCAGGTAGAATAGAGAAATTCTACAGCAAGGAGTACCCAGCCCACCTCAAAAAGAAGATGACTCTTCTCCAACATTTCACTGGCTATCTCGAGAAGAACATTCATGCTAAGAGGCATCTTCTGAAGGAAAGCCTTGATGACGAAGAGAAGAGTATTGTGGTCAAAAAGTGGCTCAGAACAAAGCATGCTATTATTTTCAGGCTTAGTAACAAACTAGTACAAGTTATCTTCTTTGACAACACAGAAATTATCCTTCATTCGGAAAATAGAGCTGTAACTTATGTGAATAAGAAAGGTGAACGGTTGTTCTACTCCATAGAATCATCCATTGAGTCAAACAACCAGGAAATGACCAAGAGACTAAACTACACCAGGCAGGTCCTCACTCATATGCTGCAAAATAAATTTGGAGCCTCCAGCTATCCGGATGGGATGGTAGGGGAGAAAGAAAGAGATGAAATCGAGGTCCAATAACCCACTTCTTATTTCAAAATATTTCTCAATTAATAATATTGAAATAGGGGTTTTGGGGTTTTGGGGTTTTGGGGTTTTGGGGTTTTGGGGTTTTGGGG